CAAAAATCACATGATCATATCAATAGATGTGGAAAAAGCACTTGATAAGGTACAGCACCCATTTATGATAAAAACACTCAGAAAGTGGGAGTAGAGGGAGCATACCTCAACATAATAAAGGTCATATATCAGAAACCTACAGCCAACATCATACTCAACAGGCAAAAACTAAAAGTTTCCCACTAAGATCAGGAAAAGAGAAGGATGTCTGCTTTCACCACTTCTATTCAACATAGTATTGGAACTCCTAGCCACAGCAATCAGATAAAAAAAATAAATAAAACATTTTGAAATTGGAAAGGAGGAAGCAAATCTGTCATTGTCTGCAGATGACATGATAGTATACAGAGTAAATCCAATAGACTCCACCAAAAAGCTACCCAACTTAATAAATTAATCTGGGAAAACAGCAGGATACAAAGTCAATATTCAGAAATCTAAGGCATTTTTGTACACCAACAATGAAATACCAGAAACAGAAATCAGGAAAAAATCCCATTTGATACAGCAACAAGAAAAATAAAGTATCTAGGAATAAACCTAACCTAGGAGGTCAAAGATCTGTACTCAGAAAACTACACAACACTGAAGAAAGAAATTAAGGAAGCACAAATAAATAGAAGCATATACCATGTTCATGGATTGGAAGAATTAACATCATCAAAATGTCCATACTACCCAAAGAAATTTATACATTTAATGCAATCTCTATTAAAGTACCAATGACATATTTCACAGATAGAGAACAAACATTTCAAAAATATATATGGAACCATTAATGATGCTGATAGTCACAGCAATTTTGAGAAAGAAGAAGAAAGCAGGAGGGATCCCAATACCTGATATCAAATTGTATTACAAGGCCACTGTAATCAAAACATTCTGTTACTGGCATAAGAACAGACACATAGAGCAATGGAACAGAATAGAAAGCCCAGAAATAAACCCAAGTCTCTATGGTTAATTAATATTTGATAAAGGGGGCCGAAGCGTAAAAGGAAGTAAAAATAGCCTCTTCAACAAATGGTGTTGGGAGAGCTAGGCAGCTACATGCAAAAAAAAAAAAAAATGAAACTTGACCACCAACTTACACCATACACAAAAATAAACTTAATATAGATAAAAGACTTAAATAAAAGTTGTAACATCATAAAAGTCCTAGAGTAAAACATAGGCAGGAAAATCTCAGATAGTCCATGCAGCAATATTTTCACTGATATGTCCACTAGAGCAAGGCATGTAAAGGAAAGAATGAACAAATGAGACTTCATCAAAATAAAGAGCGTCTGCATGGCTTAAAAAAACATCAGCAAAATAAAAAGTGAACCAAATTTATGGGAAAACACGTTTGCCAATGATACCTCAGACAAGGGTTTGATCTCCAAAATACATAAAGAATTCACACAACTCCATTCCAGGAAGACAAACAATCCAATTAAAAAATGGGCAAAAAACCTAAAAAGACACTTCTCCAAGGAGAACATACAGAGGGCCCAGAGACATATGAAAAGATACTTAGCATCACCATCCATCAGAGACACTCGAATTAAAACCATAATGAAATACCTCTTCACACCTGTCAGAATGGCCATCATAAACAAATCAACAAACAACAAATGCTGGCTAGGCTGTAAAGAAAAAGGAACTCTAGTACATTGTTCATGGGAATACAAACTGGTGCAGCCACTCTGAAAAACAGTAAGAAATTTCCTCAGAAAAACTAAAAATGGAATTGCTTTCTGAACCAGAAATTCCACTGCTGGGATTTATACCCTAGGAATCCTTAAACACCAATCCAAAAGAACCTATGTCCCCCAATGTTCACAGCAGCAGAATTTATAATAGCCAAGTGCTGGAAACAACCTAAGTGCACATCAGCAAATGAATGGATGAAAAAACTATGCTACAGAGGACTTCTGGCCAAGATGGAGGTGTAGGTAGATGTACTTTGCATCCTTGCACACCCAAAAGAAGGACAACATCATATTTAAAAATAAAAATATATAACCAGAACTGTCAGAAAATCAAACTGCATGGAAATCTGACACCCAAGGATTTAAAGAAGAAACATTTATCCAAACCAGTAGGAGGGGTGGAGACAGGCAGCCAGGATGGAGTGGACTCATGGAAAGGCATCAGCTGGCAGGCTGGGTAGTCCCACAAATGTGTGCAGATAAACCAGGAGGAACAACTTTGGAGTGAGACAGATTGTACAACCCAGAGTTCCAGCATGGGGAAATAAAGCCTCAAATCCTTTGACTGAAAACACCAGTGGGGATTGAGTTGCCAGGAGAAACTTTCAGCCTCACAGGAGCATTCGTTGGAGAGACCCATATGGAATGTACCCAAAACCACCTACCCAGGAATCAGCATCAGAAGTGCCCAATTTGCTTGTGGGTAGCTGAGGAAGTGACTGAAAACCAGCTGAGAGCTGGGGAAGAGGCATTGTTCCCTCTCATCCCTTCCACTACATACAGCACCATAAAGCAGTAACGTGGAGAGACCCACCCTGGCAAAAACCTAAGGCTCTGCCTCTTAGTATGTAATGGGCACACGAAGACAGAAAAATTATGGCCCAAATGAAAGAACAGACCGATGCTCCAGAAAAAAAAGAATTAAGCAATGAAGAGATAGTCAACCTATCAGATGCACAGTTCAAAACACTGGTAATCAGGATGCTCACAGAAATGGTTGAGTGTGGTCACAAAATAGTTGCAAAAGTAAAGACTATGAAAAGTGAAATAAAGGAAAATGTACAGGGAACCAGTAGTGAAGGGAAGGAAACAGGGACTCAAATCAATGCTTTGGACCAGAAGGAAGAAATAAACAGTCAACTGGAACAGAATGAAGAAAAAGAATACAAAAAAAAATGAGGAGTGACTTAGGAACTTCCAGGACAACTTGAAACATTCCAACATCTGAATCATAGGCGTGCCAGAAGGAGAAGAACAAGAGCAAGAAATCGAAACAAAAAAAGGGAGAACTTCTCCAATCTGGTAAAGGAAATAGACTTCCAGGAAGTCCAGGAAGCTCAGAGAGTCCCAGAGAAATTGGATCCAAGGAAGCACACACCAAGGCACATCATAATTACATCACCCTAGATTAAAGATAAGGAGAGAATCTTAAAAGCAGCAAGAGAAAAGGAAACAGTTATCTACAATGTAGTTCCCATCAGAGCCTCTAGTGATTTTCTCCAAAGAAATCTTGCAGGCAAGAAGGGCTGGAAAGAAGTATTCCAAGTCATGAAAGGCAAGGACCTACATCCAATATGACTCTATCCAGCAAAGCTCTCATTTAGAATGGAAGGGCAGATAAAGTGATTCCCAGATAAGGTCAAGTTAAAGGAGTTCAGCATCACCAAGCCCTTATTCTATGAAATGTTAAAGGAACTTATCTAAGAAAAAAGAAGAAGATCAAAACTATGAACAGTAAAATGACAACAAACTCACAACTATCAACAACTGAACCTAAAAAAATACAAAACCAAAAGTGAACTAAGAAAACAACTAGAACAGGAACATATTCACAGAAATAGAGATTACATGGAGGTTATCAGTGGGGGGAGTTGGAGGAAAATGTATAGGGAAAAAGAAGCATAAGTGGTAGGTACAAAATAGACAGGGGAGGTTAAGAATAGTATGGGAAATGGAGAAGCCAAAGAACTTATATGTATGACCCATGAACATGAACTAAGGTGGGGGAATGCTGGTGGTGGAAGGAAGGATACTTGATGCAACAACTATAATAGCATAATCAATAAAATATATTAATAAAAATAAAGTAATTATTTTTTAAAAACTATGGTATATTTACACAATGGAATACTATACAGCAGAAAGAAAAAAGGAGCTCCTACCCTTTGCAACAGCCTGGATGGATGTGGAGAGCATTATGCCAAGGGAAATAAGCCAAACAGTGAAAGATTAATACCTTATGATCTCACCTATAAGTGGAACCTAATCAACAAAACAAACATGCAAGCAAAATATAACCAGAGACATTGAAATAAAAAACAAACTGACAGTAACCAGAGGGGAGGTAGGATGGGATAACAGGAAAAAAAATAGGGAAGGGTCATGAAGTAACATGTATAAAGAACATAGGGACAAAGCCAAAGGGGGTAGGATCAAGGATGGGAGGTGGGGATGGCTGGGGTGAAGGGGAGTGTTGGAGGGGAAATGGGGACAACTCTACTTGAACAACAATAAAAAAAGAAAGCAATGCTTAATGCTGCATGAAATATCATAATATAATTAATTATAATATAATATAATATAATATAATTAATATAATATAATTAATATAATATAATGTAATACAACATAATAATGTGCTAAGGAAACTCAATGGTAAATCCTGAACACTTTTTATACTAAATTATCTCAAAATTCCTGTTCACATTCACTATTTTATTTAATACTTAAAATACCAGTCCTGCCAAGGCACTACTGGGAAATTTTACAAAGAAAACTGCTAAGGCTTCGATTGGTTAAAAATGTTGACCAGCGCCACATTGGCCATTGAGTTTCTTAGCTACAAAGGCCACAAAAGCAGGACTGACACTTATCACTCCAAGCATGGACCTCACAGAGAAGCCTGAGTCAGAGAGTGTCAACCACGATGACAAGGACAATGGGACATGTGGAACCTGTGGTGATGCCTGCCAGTCTAAGGAGGTGACATATGGAAACATCACACAGTTGTGCAAGAAACAAAGAAAAAACATATCACAGTGCTTTTCTGTAACCTTGGCTACTGTCACTATAGTTTCAAGAAAAAATGTTTTTCGCAACATTCTGAGCATTGCCCATATGTCAGCTGCCATCTGCTGATTTCCTCAGCCACAGCCGAGCACCACCAGGTGTCTTTGAGCCCAGGAAGCCCTGAACAGGGCATACCTCAGGGAGGCAGTTTGGTGGTGTTCTCCTTTTGAGTATTTTTTTTTAGGAGAAAAGGTAATAAAATGCAGGAAGGCCACTGCAAACAGTAGCACTACTTACCGGTCATGAAGAGTGGGAATCTTGGAAGGACACTGCAAATACTGCTTAAATCGGAGCTCAAAGGCTTGTCCAATGGAGCCAATGACATCCTGGGCCAGCCCATCACAGCATTCCAGAATGTGACAAGCTGTGGGATCCAGAGACCCAGGCCCATTAGAGACAAACAGTGGAGTTACCCAGGCTCCTGCACAGAAGTCCTCCTGAGAGTGAAAACCCTCAATGGGAACAGGAGGACAAAAAGGTATGTGTGTCCTTCATAATATGTCCTGGAGGCTCTACCTGCAACTTAATCCCAGTGTCCCTATTGGATGTATTCCTTAATAGCCTATTGTCTCTAAAATTAAAAATGAATTCCATCGTGGCAGCTGCCTGCCATCTCCCAAGGACACACTCCTGTGACCAGGCTGCAGCACAATCCATGCAAAACCTTCAGAAAAAAGAGGGTCGAGTGGGAAAAGGCACAGAGAAGACCCTGCTTCTGTTCCTCAAGATAGTGACTGTCCTTGACACCCCCCAGAGGAACTTTAGCCTCTCACATGTCTCCATGACCATGACATGGTCTTGTTACTAATGGGAGAGAGGTAGTCTCCCTGGAGAAAAGAGCAGATGTGGGTGTCCCACTACACCTTTCTCTTTTCAATAGTTAAGATGTAATTATTTTCAGGGAGGGTTCCTCCAGGAGCACAGCAGATGCTGGCAGTGAAGAGGGGTCATCTCTACAAAGGTGGTTAGTTGTTCCCAGGCACCAGAGACACCAAACTGTCCTCTGGCTGTAGGATAACCCAGTACACATGAGACAGAGGACTCTTTAAAGATGGAAAACTGCCCAGGAAGGGACAGAGTCATCACTGCTTTTGAAGTTTGGTGACTTTCAGCAAAATGCTGGCTTCTCTGTGCACAAAGCTCACACGGACAGCAGCTGCCACCATGTCCTCAGCTTCTACATTGTACCCCAGGCTGGAGGGGGATGCATCCTTGAGGACACAGGGGAAGCACTGCTGGGGAAAAAGTGTGCCTGCACTGCAATGTGGACCACCATGAAGTTCTTGGCTACACTAGATATGTCCAAGGGATTGATCCCAAGATTTCCGAGCTGTATTCTTGTCATTGACTATTCATATTAGTTTTTCAGTAGCAACACGGGTAGGCACAAAGCAAGCCCATATGAAACAGCTATTAGAGTTGCTGGGTTATTGGTTAACTGAAAGGAATGGACATGTCTTTCCAGCTGAAAGGGAAGGAGTCATCAAGGTTGGTGTGAGGAAAAGACACCTGGCTCCCCTATAGCCTGTATTTCTAGCCAAACACTTCTACCTCCAGCACTGGGAGCAGCAGTAGGAGTTGGCTGGCCAGTACTTTAAAGAGCCATAATAAAGACAGGGAATGGGTCAAGAAATACACCTTATTTTTTTTCTGAGGAGAAAAGCAGTGCCCTAACTTTTAACACAATGTGTGAAAAATCAGGTTTCAGCAGAGGGGGCCACACAACAAATCTATGGAGCCCTGCATGTTCCACACACCGGAAAGCATCAGGCCTGGAGAGTGTCCTCTTCAAGTCAGTTCCACAGAGGTTCACAAGCTGCAGAGCTCCAGGTGGGAAACCCTCCCTGAGTGAGGGCTGAGTCCTGCTAGTCTAAGGTGCCCAAGTTGGCAGAACCATTCCAGGTTCTGCTACCTGGTTCGTCCTCAATGGACTGAGAAAATAGCATCCATATAGGCTGGGTGTGAGGCTCCTTCTGTAAAATGCCTTCTATGTGTTTGAAAAACTCACTCCAAATCCAAAACTAACCCTAGGCTGCCAATCTTGCTGGGCCTGTTATTTTCTCTGAGAGTATTGCATTTAGTCTTTAGCCAAAAGCCACCCTCTTCTAACCTGGACTGCATGACTTTGTATGTACCAGAAGTAAAGATGCTCTAACCCAGGTGAACATCAGGATTGCTTGTTTCATCCCCACAAGGAAAGGACAGAGCCAGAGTCATCATTCATGAGCAAGAGGAAGACTAGATGAGAAAGACCTACAGAGTCAATACTCAAAATGACGTTGTAAAACCTAAACATGGTCCAAAATAAACACAGGAACAACTGGTCTTTTCACAGTAGCAGAAGGTGACATTACAGAAGAAGGCCCGGAAACAGGTGCTGGCTTGATGTTCAAAGAGCCAGCAGTCCGTGGAGCCAGGAGCAGGAGCAAATGGTAGGCGATGAGACAGGTTAGAGCAGGACTCGGGTCTTGTGGGCATGGTGATGACACTAGCAGATGTTTCGCGGAGGAAGGAAAGACTAAGACATGTGGCTTGTCAAGTGTGAGGGCTCTGAGACTTCTGAGTGCAGAGGTGCATGAGTCTGGCTCTCAGCCAGATGCCTGGGTGAGACAAGAACATTCAGAGCCTCTGGCACAGGATGTTTAAATCCCAGGGCCTGGCTTGTAATGTACAACCACTGTTGACAATAGCCAAGTGTGGAGCTACCTAAATGTCTACTCATAGCAAAACTAACTTCTTGCCCAATGTTAAGGGTTGGAAATTAAGTTAAGGAAGGGAAGGAGGGAGGGAAAGAAGGAAAGGAAAAGCAGGAAAAGAAGAAGGAAGGGAAGGGAAGGGATGGGAAGGGGAAAAGAGAGAGAGAGGGAGGGGGAAGGGAGGGAGGGAGGAGAGAAAGAAAGAAAGAAAGAAAGAAAGAAAGAAAGAAAGAAAGAAAGAAAGAAAGAAAGAAAGAAAGAAAGTCATTTTTGCCCACTATACACATGAGGGTTTTTTTTACAGAGGAAAGTCAGAGGAGGCGCTGTGTTGTTTACCCTCAGTGAATTCATACTATTTAAGGCCTTTTCTGGAGAGTCACCTGCTAGGGCCTAACAACTGTCCAAGGCCAGAGCAACCCTAAGTTTTTTGTTGCAAATATCCTGTGCTATTATCAAAGCCTGGAGTAGGCAAGTTTGACCACAAGATGCATCATTCCCACATGCAGGATTCCTGCTCAAGCCTCTTCACCAAGTTTCCCATTACTGGGAAAATCTTGGAGGAAGAGCAAGCAGAATGCGTTAGAAGCTATTCAGGCTGAACACACAGGCTTCTTCCCCACTAGGTCAGCACCAACTATGTATAGGATATGACTTCCCACAGCCAGATCAGGTTGTCCCACAGGGTGCCTGAAGAAGGATGTTATTGCAGTTATATAATGTTCATGCCTCTCATGGCAGCTATATGTCTAATTAGAGCATGACTTTTTTTCTTAGCTGCTATTGTGACTCAAACAGTGCAATCTAGCTGTTCTTTTATATGTATATAAAATACAGGGAATGAGGTCATTGGGTAGTAAATGAAAGTTCCCATGTAAAAAAAATGTGTTAGGATTCAGCAAAACCTAATTTGTTGAGAGCTTTATCTTTCATATATCAATAATTGCCTGCCAGGTCTATTGGCCCTGCCCTTTGACTATAATGTGCCAACCACATGAAAGTTCACTCATTTTTGTCTTTTGTCTTCTCAAAATGTTGTTGGAAGTTTCCATACAATTTAATGACTTGGGTCAGAGATCTTTTGCCCTCCCACCAGATTAACTATATACATCATGGATTCCTATACCAAATAGATATATATTCTCACTGTAAATACTTATAAACAGGCAAAAGTGTATAGGCAAGAGTCATTATGGAAAAGACAAATGATAACAGTGAGAAAATTTCACCCAAATCTGTAGGATTTTGACAGGAGACTTTCCAGGACCCAGATGTGTTTTGACACCTGTGCATCATGGGGAGCTGTGCCTGCAGCCAAGGAAACACCCCAGCACATGAACTGCATGAGGCGTTAGATATTTAAGAGCCCAAAAAAATTTTATTCCCAGACTTTCTTGTTAATCTGACTTCTGAATGGCAGAGGCCATTCTTAATTAAACTCACTCTCTAGGCCAGGGGAGAAAGAACAGAAGCAGCTGGGGGAAGCCCTTCCACCAGCTCCTTAGTAAAAGGGGATAATTGTGGGGTGGACACATATAAGGTGATGCAAACTGTGCTCTGATAGAAGGTTCATGGCTGGAAACATGACTCCCCTCCCTACATACACTGTTTGTGTGGGGGGAACAGAGCTATGGTGCATCAAGAAAGACTGCAAATTCCCATTGGAAGGTGAGTGTGGTTCCCCTCCCTTGAATCTGAGCAAGCTGTCACTGCTTTGACAGTACACTATGAAAGAAGTGAAGCTCTACTTGGCCTTTCAGAGTGCTGGAACCTGCCACTTGGTATCATGGAGCCCAGAAGTACCATGTGAGAGGTTTTAATACCCTGATAAGAGGGGCCCTTGGATTCCTAGGAAAGGGAGAAGGACCTTGATGGCTTGGCCTTCCACATCCTTGCCAAGGTCTGAGGCATGACAGTGAAGTAAACGTGGACCCTCTAAACCAGGGCAGCCAAAGTCACCCAGTGACCCCCATTGGTGGCACATGGAACCAAAAATTGGCCAACTGAGCCCTGCCTGGATTCCTGAAACCTAATCATATCAGAAACCACTAAACTTTGAGTAGTTTGTTGCAGGTGATGGATAATTGAAAGGCAAGAGTGTACATCACCCAAAAAGTCTCAAAGGGTCCCTGTGCCAGTGATACCCCCAGACCACCAGCACCAATGCCAACATCAGCATTTGTCTTACAGTAGTACCACATGCCAAAGGGATACGACTGTGGCAATCAGGGTATGTGCAGTGGATTCTGATTTCCATGAGTTTGAAAAGGCACAGTTTGAAGGTACTCCTGGTCATGGCTCAAAACAAGACAGCAGCCTTTACACTTCCATGGCTCTAAGTCAGACTGCACTGGACTGAGCTCCTTCAGGCTTGGATCCTTATTTCCCAGCTGTGGCTGTAAGCAGGGATCACCCGCAGAGCTTTTAAAAATTATGTGTGCCTGGTCCTCTCTGAGGACTGAGCACTGAGATTTTTAAAAGCTCCCCTGACTGAAATGTAATTCAGCAGTCCCTAACCTTTTTGACACCGGGGACCAGTTTTATGGAAGACAATTTTTCCATGGACCAGGGAGAGGCAGAGGGGAGGATAGTTTCAGGGTGATTTAAGCACATTATGTCCAAGCTTACTTCCTGCTCTGTGGCCAGGTTCCTATCAGGTCTGGACCAGTACTGGTCCTAAGCCCAAAGGCTGGGGACCCCTGGTATAGTTCATGTTGAGAACCACTGACCTAGGAGCCATTAAAAATGTCAAAAAAAAATATCTAGGATTGCTTGAAGTTAATTTGGAACAAACAAAAATAGACAAAGAACTTCAACAACAACTGTTAACCCTGGGCTGAAACTGGGAGAATTCTGTGCCTGGAGAGGCACAGACTTAGACCTACCCCCTCTCCTAACTTGGTGGGATCTTGGGATGATTGAAGGAGTTGGCCTCCCTTAATGAGTTAAATTGTATCTCCAATGAAAAATATGTTGCAGCCTTATATCAGAATGTGACCATATTTGGAAATAGGGTTGTAGCATAACTAGTAAAGGTGAAGTCAGACTGATCTGGAGGGTCTAATCCAGAGTAACTGGTGTCTTTATAAAATTTCTGAATGGTCCTGGCTGGCATAGCTCAGTGGATTGAGATCGGGCTGCAAACCAGGCATCGCAAGTTCGATTCCCAGTCAGGGCACATGCCTAGGTTGCAGGCCATAGCCCCCAGAAACCGCACATTGATGTTTCTCCCTCTCTCTCTCTCTCTCTCTCTCTCTCTCTTACTCTCCCTTCCCTCTCTAAAAATAAATAAATAAAATCTTTAAAAAATGTCTGAATGAAAACAGAGGTACACTCAGAGCACAAAGCCATGCAAAGATCAAAGATTGCAATGATGCACCCATAAGCCTAGGATGCACATAATCAGAAGCTGGAAGAAGCAGGAAGGATTCTCCCTTATAGGCTTTAGAGTGTGGCCCTGATGCCAACCTGACCTCAGATTTCTGGCCTTAAGAACAATGAGACAATGATTCCTGTTGTTTTAAGGCACCTAGTTTGTGGTGTTTGTACAATAGCCCCAGCAAACTAATAATACAGAAAGAATGAGCTTGTGCTGAACCATCATAGCCTGCCTTCTCACCCAAGACAAATACTAGTTATCTGAAGATATTACATAAAAGTTGTTTCATGTTCATGAAGTGGTGGACTAGAGTGTGTTAGCAAGGGGTGCTAGGGACAGTCTTCAACTCATCAAGACCACCATGTCCCCTTCCCATCCACACTAAAAACTTTGTGATTATCCCACCTCTGGTTTAGGAGTGATGATGTGACAATTAGAGTACATTATCTGCATTAGAACACCTCGTCTATGAAGTCCTCCACCCCCCAGCCACCCCAATGACAACTTAGAGGGGAGCTCCAGCACACCTGGAAGAGAATGACACTAACATTCTTTATAAGATCTTATCTTCATCCCCAAGAAACAAAAGGCATCCCCACCAAATCATAGCTTACAAACCATGATTAGAAAAGGTTCTGATGGAAAATCACCTTTACACATTTATATGGAAATGCAAATTTCTATAGCCAGTCTGCACAGTAATTTGCAAGTTCCCTTGATGCATCAATCATCTAACACTATTTCTCTGCAAATGCCTCTTTGGGGGGCACATAATATTGTGGGGAAGAACATAAGGGGCCCCGGAGGTTCTGTGGGCCTGAGGGCCAGATCTCAGTAAAGCCACATCATGGATCAGATAACCTGATCTCTCTAGGCTGTCAAAAATGTCCAATGTGGAGGTGAGGGGGGACAAAATAGAATGCTAAGATCTCATTTGTATTGAAATTTAAAAATAAGAAAACATATGGAAGTATATAAATTTAAAAATTTCTTCAAACTAGAAAAACTTAACAGTTGGTACCTGGGGTGAAAGGTGGAAAGAGTAGAGAAACCAGTGGGTAGTAGATGGGAATGTTGTTTTGTATTGTTTGAACCCCCACTGGTGATATTAGTCAATGAGTTCTGAATTGCAGTTGTGTGGTGTGCCAGTGACTGCCTGGTGTTCAAGGGCAGCACACCTTAGGCCACCCACCCAGGCTTGTTAGCATCTAGTGAGTGGGACTTTGGTTTTTTAAGTTATTTAAAAAATGGGATGATGGTATGCAGGGAGAGTCTAGGAGTAAAGAGTCCATGAGGATGGAAACTACTTGAATACCTCGAACACCCCACCCAGTCTATGAGGCTTTGAGTGGTATAAGACAACATCTAAGCCTGGACATTGGCCTTCAGGGCTGTGCAGGGCAGGATGAGGCTTCCCAGGGAGACTTAGTTAGCAGTGGGCACACAGGAGCTATAGCCCATCAAGAGGCCAGATGATCTGTAGTTTTCTGTGTGTTACAGAGCCGCTTTCAGAGTATGAGTGGCAGTTGCACTAAGCAGGGCAGGTGCTTCAACCAGTAGCTGGCTGGATAAAGGTATGCATTTGGCACTCACAGACCCAGCCAGGTGTGCTGTCACACTTAACTGCTGGTAAACCTTAGTGATGATGAACAATGAGACATATCTCATTTTGGTGAAAGGGGCTGAGCTGAGACATTTACATTAACATCCAGTGTCAAGCCCGACTGTATTCGAGTAAGAGATTAAAAGTGTCAAGCATTGCTTACCTCTGCGATTAACAGGGTCTTTAGCTACATATGCAACATAGTCTGTTGTGTCCTGTCAAAAAAAAAGTTGAGATGTTCACATCACTAATCACAAGTGAGAGACACACAGTTCACAAACTAGCTCAGGAATGAAATGTTCCCCAATAACAGGCCCATGAGGCAACATTTCTCAAACTATCTGAGGGCAGAAATCACCAGGGATCTTGTAAAATGCAGATTCTGGCTGGGGTGGAGCAGGTGGAGGTTTGCTAGGGGTAGGCCTTGAGCTCTTCATCCACTGCCAATTTGCACACAGCAGTGTTGCTGCTTCCCCAGCCCATACTTTGAGCAGCAAGAATGAGAAGGGCACCTGTTCTCAGCAAGTTGGATCACTGAGGACCTTTAAAAACACTGAGTTCCACCCCTCAGGTTATCTGATTTAATTGGTTTAGATGTGAGGCCAGGGGATCAGGGATGTTTGAAAGCTCCCTCATGATTCCAGTGTGAACCAAGGCTGAGAACCACTTCTGTTCATTCTGGAACTGACAGTGGTCCTCAAACTTGAGCAGGTGTCAGAATCCCCTACAGGGCTTTAAATACAAACTAAGTCCCACTTCCCATTCTACGGGTCTGAGGTGAGACCACAAAATGTGAACTTTTGACAAGTTCCCAGGTGATACTGCTGCTGATGATCTGCAGAGCCACTTTGGAAACCACTGGTCTAGAAAAAACTGAGCAGTGGATGTTCAAAGATGGGTTGCAAACACTCCCTCATGGGTGGACGAGATGCAATGGTTCCTTTCTTCTTGGATATAAGTAGTGATTTTAGCACTTTTAAGATGTTTCAGAAATATGGACTCAATTTACAAGTCTCATCCCTGAACAGGAAACATGAGCCTTCTTGCCTGCCTCCTCATTTAATCAGGGTATAAAGGACACCACGGCCTCAGAAGCAGGCCAAGGTAACCACATGGATTTGTTTCTAGACAGTTAAAGGAACTGAAAATTCTCTTGATTTGAGAAAGCAGAAAAGACTTCTCTGCAAAGTTTATGTTTTCAACATTTAAAAAAGTTTCAAGGCAGGTGGTGGGCAACTGGGAAAGGTCTATTCTATCATTGCAGATAGTTTCCAAATGTTATTGTTTCAAAGAACTGCAAGGTAATCGATTAGCTCCCAAGTGTTCAGCACCAGAAAGATTCTCGGTCAAAAGTTCTTTATTGTTAGGTCCTATGGGCAGACGATGCCTTCTCTCTCTACAGCGAGAGGGGAGGAGGGTAAGAGTATGTGGGTAGGTATACAATGGTTATTGACCACATACAGCTGAGCAATGGGGGGGTGAAGGCACTTTCTGTACATCATTGCCCCTAGAGCTCCTAATGACACAGTCAGACTGAGCAGGAGGAGAGCTTCTCCAGCAATCTTCATATAACAGCCTGCTACACCAGGGTCATTCTCTGGTGTGTAGCCCAGCTAATCTGTTTATTCTTCTCACTCAGGCAGAGTCCATTAGTAGATTCAGAGAATGACCTGGAAAAGGGAATAGAAGACAGCCAAACCATCCACCTTGGCTTCCAGTCATTTCCATCAAGGAAGATCTGGTAAGACTCTGAAGCTATTGGCAAAAGTAAGAACTTTAGCTTGTAATCAGAGACCCTCATCCTGGATACAGGAGATGTTAATGTCAAAAGTTTTCTTAGGTAATGCTAGTGTTTCTCAAACTGAGATCCATGGAACCCAGGGTTGGGCAGGTGTATTCCCCAGCATTTGAAATGTCACCGGAATTTCCTTTTAATTTTGTATTTTCATTTCCATGATAATCTTAAAAATTAATACAAGAATATTTGGGATCATCTGAATGACCACCATTTTATTGTGTTTTGTACATAGTTTCAGTGCCAAGATTTTTAGTTGGGTTTCCAACATTATCAGTACCAGGTTTTTAAAAAGTTAGACAGAAAATAAGTGTTATCTAATCAGAAAAGACTACATGCCTTGACCCCACCTGAAGCAAATTAATGTCACATTGATACACAGTGATGTACAATTAAGTGTTTGCTTGAATGAATAGAAGAAATTAGTGGGAGAAATTAATCATCTGGCACCCATGAGAGACGCTTACCTCAAAAGATTCTGAATGCACCATGGTGGCCAGTTCTAGTGTCACATTGAGAGCAGAGATTTCATTTCAGCAAAACTATCCATCAGGATAAATTAATGTTACTTTCAACACTATTGGCTTTACTGTGTTTATTGATAAACTTCCAAGTTTGGGATTTACAGTTCGATAAAAAGCATAACATAGGTGTCCATACTTTATTTTTGTACATATTTGGGGAACAAAATTAATTTGAGTCACACTTGGGATACAAAAGAAAATTCTTCTTTTTAAATTTTTATTCCAATCTGAGAAACTCTGCTCAGAAGATGCGATGTGTTCCTGTCACTCTGATGGTCAATGGTCAAACCATGACTTAGCTCTCCGGATGCCAATGTTCATTTTTTTTTTTGTCACACTGGGGGAATGCATTGCTGTTCAAAAAAATTGTTCTTGACATCACACAGTGAGCAAATGAAGTTGCAAAGATGGCGTTACCAAGTGCTCATTCTGTGTTTACTCATCTCTGTTATCACTCTGCAAGACTTACTGAGCCTGACCATTATTCTGGCATTCTTTTGGTGGTCTTTTAACACTGAAAATAATAGTAGATTATAATTAATGAGTGCCCTTTTTTTCTTGGAGAGATTAACATTGTTTCCCAATCCATCTTATTTGACATTTCAAAATACTACTTTCTTACATGGTCAACTGAGGCACAGAGAAATTAGTAGATATACACTTGGGAGAAGAACAATGAGTAGAACCTAGAATTGTTGGTTTTATTTAAAATACCCACCAGCTATAATAATTACAAACCAAGTCATTATGGGAAGTCATGGACAATGTGATATGCACTTGGATTGCTTACAGAAGAAGTGGAAAGTAATCAGGCTTCTAACAGTGACATTTTCTATGTCAGAAAAAAATCAGAATGAATATAAAATGTTATGAATTTCTTTAAGAGTCTCTGAATGCATCTGCTTTTAAATGAGGAGGTGATAGGGGAAATTGAAAATAGTTCACTGACCTGTGTACATCCTGGGGAGCCAAATAATTTTAACACAGGACAATGTATTGGGCTTCCTTTCCCACTTGCTAGATCTCTGCATTTCCACTCACGATATCATCATGAAGATGAAGCTTGAGACAAGTTACTGAAAGGAGCTATCAATGCAGGTGTGCAATGTTTCTGCCTTTTATTTTTCAAACTGGGTCACCCTCGAAATTTAGGAAACTATTGTTCCAAGCATCACATTGGGAAAACAAGTAGACAGCCACTGCAACTTAATTAGAGGAGATACGGAAATAGGTAAAGGCATAAGTACAGAAATGTGCGTAGGTGCAGTGTGGGCACAGAATAGCTGTACATGCACGTCTAGATATAATCCTCAAGAATGTACCTATGATGGGTTTGATTACAGAAGACTTCCACATTCCAAATATACAACTCAATGAGGTCTTTCATTTTACAGTGAAACATAAGAAATTAAAGGTTTAGAAAAATGAAAGGAAGGGGAGGGGAGGGGAAGGGAAGGGAAGAAGGGAAAGGAAAAAGAAGAAGAAACTATCATAAGCACTCTGAAAACAAAACCCTAAGTATGAAAAAGAGCCAAAGTCCATTAAGTAAGATGGTTAAATGGTGGTCTGATCATCCTTTGACTATTAAGCAGAAGTTTAAGGGCAAAGAACCATCTGCAGGGTGGACAAATTCTTTCTCTTAACAGTGCCCTTGGCTCAAGGGTCTTAGGCTGGGAGACACCCAAGCCTCTCCCCGCAGCCAAGCTCTCTGGGCAGCAGCACTGCTGGGATAATGCATGGGGTAATGCATGTGGTGATGCCCCTCTGGGGACTATAGCAGCTGGGGGAGGGGAAGGTGGGGTGTTGGCTCTCCTGTAGCTAAAACACTCTTTGCTGTGATTGCTGTGCCCTTTGGAAATGTAGAGATTGGAGCCAGCAGTGAAAATTGCTCCTTCGATTTGACTTTCTATGTGCCAACAGCAGTTCTACAATCAGGTTACCCACATAGAAGGAGCCTGGGAGGAAAAGTCTATAAGATAAACATGAGTGTGGGTAAACTTCCCCACTGGGATAGAAATAGACAAGGTCCTTGCCTTGGGATAAGGAGTAATATGTCCATCGATTACTTAGGTGACCTTTGACCAGTAATGTTTTATTTGCAATCTAAGAATTGCCTACTGATAATTTGGCAAAATAATATAAAACATATTAATATATTAATAATATAATTACATATAATATAACATATTAATATAGTATAATAATTAATAATATAAAACAACAATTATAACAAAAATACCACTATAAGCCACCATTTTTTCATTATAAAAATGTTTAAAAACAAAAAGACATCTTCCAAGAATATAGAATAATTTTTTTCATTGAATAAATTTAGCTCCAAGAAGAAGTCACTCTGTTGTCCTAATTTTTATATGTTTCCCTGGACTGGTGAGAACTTTACCTAGATGAATGAAAAATAACATGATAACATTTTGCGGGGGGGTCCTTTTCTCCTTTCCACTGCTGGGAAGAGCTGCATATGTTTTCTCCCTGGTGGCCTCCGCTCCTCCATTTTCATGACTGATTTCCTGCCTGGGTTTCTTCAAAGGGCAGGCCTGCCCATAGTGAACAGTAGTGAGTGTGCTCTCCAGACACTGAATGTAAACGCTGACATCACAGCATCACATTCCTGACCAAATGTGGGGAGCCAATCCCCTTGTTATTGCACCCTCTTCATAAAATAAGTGATGCAAGAACAGAACATTCTCATTCTGTTCTCTCTCTCTCTGTCTCTGCACCTCCTTCCCTGTTGGCTAAACAAATCATTAAAAGACTACAGTGTTAAATTTGGGAGAAGAATCCCAATTTCAAATATTTATGAATAAAATAGACTAAGTAAATTCACAGCATTCAAGTAGACGTAAAATATAAAACCAGAAGACCCTAGTGGAGGTCCAACAGAAAAACAGGAACAAGGAAGGGCAGACAGAATCAGGAGACACTAGGAAACCCTGGGAAGCTTTTTCATTACTTCTTAAGAAATCCAATGCTTTGAGGATTGTTGACAGCTCTTGGCTAATGAACTAATTTTAAAAGCTTATGAAATCAGGAGGGGGAAATAGTTGGCATTACAGTAAGCTTTCTTGATCGTATTCTAAGAGATGCACCTTGGAAGCCAGGCCTCTTCTCATCAATTCCCAAGATCAAGAGAAAACAATGCCAAGGGCACTTACCGGGTCCCCCCCAGAGGCGAAGGAGATGGACTGCATATGGTGATTCGCTATAATCTGCCAGGCCCAAAACAAGAAACGAGATGTGCCATTATTACCTTCCCATGTTTTGGTAAACCAACTGTTTGTTCACCAGCAATATGAATCAACAAGGTTTCTCAAAAATTGGTAAAATCGTTACCCAATAAAAATAACTATAAAAGTAATAACAACAGATAACCTCTAATGATTTTCACAGCATGTCAACTGCTCATCTAGCAGCTTTGACAGAATTAGCTCATTTAAGCTCCACAATAGCCCTGTGATATGAGCTGTGGTAATCCCATTTCACAGACACAGGGGGACCAAGTGGCTTGCTCAAAGTACTACAGCTAAAATGGGCAGAGCTATGACCCAACACAGAGGGTCTTAACGACCATGCTTCTTTGAGAAGAAAAATGTCTCACCCACACACCAAAACATTTTAACTCTGTAGTATCTGTTTCCAAAGACATATGGGACACCCCATAGCTGGAGTGGATGGAAGTGTGGCTATCCCCCACTTCAGTGCATTTGCATCATGTGCTCATAAATTGGGAAGCCTACATTCAAGATCAAAATCAGTGCCATCAGTCACTCTTGTAATTTATCTATTTAAAAACTAGTGAGAACACTCCAAGTTCATTTTTAAGTGGGAAATTTCCATTAGCATTATAAACTGCAGGACATAGTGGAATTTAACAGATGCTGGAAATTAGAAACTGACCTAAATTTAAAAAGCTACATAAGACTTCCAAGCCACTTTTATCTTTTTAAAGACAATGTAATGACATTGAAGTAAATTTCTGGGGGTAAGAACAGTACACTTGTCTCCCTCCCAACATAACCAGGTCTATTTTTGCTCAACCCCCTCAGGCCCTCACTGGTGGGCAGTCAAAATTTACAGAGCTGTAATTCTACCATCCAAGGGATTTTTCTACCCATGTTCCTGTAAAGCCCAAAGCAAAACTATAATGAATTGTAAGATAAAATAAGATATTTTAAATACCTACTTCATTTTGGGGCGCATGCAAATCTACTCAGGATCCAGAAAAACCTGAACATATAGTAGTTATGTTTGGGGGAGTGTCAAAAATTATACGCAGATCCTGGACTGCACAGGGACAGCACCTCCAGCCCTAGTGTTGTTCAAAGGTCAACTGTAGATCAATGAAAACAATGAGTACAGTCCTGTAGCCTGTGCCCAAGCCCAGATGGATCAAACTAACAGTTGCCCTTTGCACCTTTCTGGAGTTCTGCCACTAGGCCAGGGGTGGAGTGTTCCTGGGGGAGCAATGAGGACATAGCAGTCCCCAAAAGAGGAAAAACTATGACTTCTAAAATTAAGTTTTGCTTATTTACTTTTTTGTTTATTTAACTATTGGTTACAGAGCAACTATAAAGTGGGGGTTTGTAAATAGAGGTAGACACTAAGATTTAGGAGGAAAATGGAAAACCCATTGGGTCAACATGATGCATACATGATGCATAACTATCACTGTGTATGTATGTGATTCCTCTGGCTAAGAGAGTTGAAAAGGAGAGCTAATTAACTGAAAACACACATCTTTGCTCTGAGGATGTTTCCTCTTTTTCTTCTTGAGACCTCTGCAGAGAGGATCAGGCACAGCCTTTCTCCTGTCTGCATTGGGAGGGGAATGTCCACTTGGCTTGCTCTTAGCTTGCCACAGCCAGGCCTTCGATTCAGCTAGACAGGAGAGCCTGAGAGCTGTGAGCTTTGGCTCCCTTCCTCAGACTGTGCTCATGATGTCTGAGATGGCACCCCCAGGACTCACTCCCACCACCTATTTCAAGAGCAGGACAATGAGAACTAGACACACCCAGCCAGCCTCATCCCAAGATGGAGAGGGCCAACCAGGTGGCCTAATCCTTTCTGCTCTTTCTGAGTTTGCTTCTCTTTATTTTAAGGTGGGGAATTAGGTAAAAGGGAAATTAGGAGATAAGATGCCACAGAATTGAGGACCAGAGTTTTAGGATTCCTAGAAACAAAAGGTACAATAGCCACATAGAATAAGAATGGGTGTGGGCATATGAGTGCAAAGCTGAGGGGACCAACTTCTGTTAGCCATCACAGGTGCTCAGCCTTGGGGCAGCTCCAGAGAGAGGATCAGCCAGTTAAAGTTACTTAATCCACCATTTAAATTACAGGTTAACCCATCCCTTAGAAGTGTCAATGAGAAAAGACAAAGGGTCATCCATTACTTGAGTGGGGACAAAGGAATGGAGTGAGAAGCAGTATCCAGTATGGTGACACATTGCTATTCAGGAAGTGTTCATCCATAGGTCTGTAGATTGCCCACTTTTTACAGTGTGGATACATCTGATTTCTAGTTCACACTGCCAGCAGTGGAGGCCCAGGTTGAGCAGAAAAGGTAAAGGCACTTATGATTTGAGCATTTTCACCTGTTGGTCTCCAAGGCAACTATTCACATATATGCTTGAGCCATGGTATTAAAAAATTGCCTCTAATTGTTTTTGATAAACGTCCCTGGAACGAGGCATTTTTCCCTTGGCAAGCTGTGAATTAGGTTAAAATAGACAGCCTTGAGAGTAAGGTCTTCCAGGGAATGATCAAGTAGGTCATATAATGATATCATATAACCATTATTCTAGCTGAGGGAACTAACAGCCAGAGAAACCTAAGACAGATACTTTAGAGAAACCCAACAAACAGAATTAGCCTTAATAAAAATCACTGCTGTGCTGCCTATGTCAGCAACAAACTCCTTCCACATTGGGAAGCCATGGACCTGCCATACCATATGAAATCTAAAAAGCTATAAAACGTGAGAGGCTCCAAAATAGTGACCCACTAGGAAAAAAATACTGTCAATCACCATGACATGCCATTCATTTCAAAGATAATAAAATGTGCTGTAGAACCAATGGAATATGGTATAAGAGAAAGCAAAACAGGGGCAAGGACAAAGAGGAGGCTTTTGACATTGTAAGTAAATCAATGATTTCATACATTATCCTTAAAAAAGGTAATTTACAAAAGAATTAAAGAAAGTCAACTGCATCTGTCATCCTGTTGGTAACCCTACAAAGCAGCCCATCAAATTTTGCAGGCTCGTAAAGGTGTTACACAAGTGTGTTCCACATGGCCCTGGAAAGATGGAAGAGGGAAGCCTGTGAAACACCCACTGTAGGACCCCTGAGTGGGGCAGGGTGCCTGAGAGCCTACAGACCTGTTTTGAGTCTGGTGTCCGCAGGTTCAGGCTGGCGGTAGATATGGTCAGGGAGATGTTCATCCCCGAAAATTGGAGGTTGCTCTTGCCGAAGATGCTGGACAGCATTTTGCTTGGAGGCTATGAAATCAAGCAGCATTATTTTCACTTTTGAGTCACTAGAGCCCACACTGTTGGGGCTTCTACATTGTTCCTATCTGCTACACCCCCAAACCTCCACTTTCCCACCCTTATTAGGCATACGAAAACTGTGCTTCAAATAAGCTGGGAGGGGGAATCTGACACTAACACAAACATTCTAGAATGTGCAATATGGGAATTGTAAACCACCCACTATGCACAAACTGAGATGAGGGAAATGCAGAGCTGTCAGTGTCCCAGGAAGTTCATGCAGAGATGCATCTTGGGGCATGACTCACTAGCGTGGGGAAACAGCCACAGGTCAGGTCCTGCAGCTTTGCCAATTCAGAATGTAGCTTCATCCCACCAAGAGTCACACTAGTCAGGGCCAGATTAAATCTGTCCCATTTAGGAGCTAGGAGCAATACCATTTGAGTTGTGAGAATGCTCATTGCTGAAGGAATGGAACACGAATGCTTTGGCTGGCACATTCTCTGGGTCAGAGCTCCCATGGATAGTCCAGTTAAAATACAGCAGCTCTGGAGCCAGCACAGAATGGATAGACTCAGCTCAGCTCTAACTGGTACATCTATCAGCCCATAAGAAATGTGCTTGGCACAGGGACCAACAGACTGCATTCTCCAGCCAGGTACCCCATCCTTGGGTTCCTGCATGGGTACTGCCAACCCTTGTCTCAGTTATTGCTAACTCTCCAACCTTCCTGTTTGGATTAAAACACACCCCCTTTGATATGTCAATCAAACCCACTTTTTAATCAAACAGGCAGTTTGTGAGTCTCCCACCAGAGCTATTCAAAGACAGAGCTTCCTGGGCCCTGATCAAGTATACCTGGGGTGGAGCCTAGAAGTCAGCATCGTTTCCACCTCCTGCACCCAGAGAACCAACAGAGTTGCTGGTAGGGTGCCACCTGGCTCTGAAAGAGGAGGATCCTTTTCTTTGTTCTCAGACACCCTCCTAGTTCCCATATTCAAGATTCTGGAGGTATGCTTGGTTCCCCACGTGCCTTGTATGATGACAGGAACTTAGGATGGTCCATCTGAGCCTTCACCCAAAGTTCTTTGCCTGAAACTCAGTTGCCCTTTGGGTCACAAATGTCCCCAAGCTATGAAGAAAGAAATGACTCACAGCCCTGGGACAGCAGAGGCAAGCACATAGCCTGTTCCAAAACCTCAGCCTCAGGACATATTCAGAGATATTCAGAGGGGCATTCTCCCACATTGGGTCCAGGCACAGAAAAGTCCTGATAGTGGGTATTTACTTAGGTATTTACTAGACACTTAAGGAAAGAATTTTTGTGAGCTTTCTTTTAATCCAGTTTTTCCTTTTCTTTCTGGTCCAAACACCTCAGGATTAAAATGTTGAGTACAGGGATTTAACACACAGGCCCTGGTGCCAAGAGGTCTGGGCTGGAGCTTGGCTCTACCACCTACTTGCACCATGTGCTCTCCTCTCTATGCCTGAGTTTTTATCTCTGTATAATGGGGATACCCAGTGGCATTCTAGAGCTGCTTATGCTTGCTAATAAGAGATAATTATTAAATGTTTAAGAATTTTGTGAGCTGGCCACTAAAAACAGCTGCTGGTAAAAAATAATTTACATAAACTTACAATTAAATAAACTATATATTTTTAAATAATTACTCAGAACTCATCACTTCCTAATTTTTGCTACATTAACAATTACCTATGCAGTTCAGTTTGTTTATGTCCATTGTACCTGTGTTACATGTGGGGTGGAGATACCATATAATGGTATCTGCACATCTCTTCCCAACTCCAACTTAGAGATGTCATGTTAGAGCCTGAAATTATCCATGGTGGAATTATTTACACACAGAAACTGGCAAACACTATGAATTTAGTGCTTTTCAGTCTCCCACTTTTGAAAAACCATTATGAAACTTTTACCAGCACACCACCTAAGGTGTCTGCCACAGAGTTGTTCTAATGAAGTAAATTAATGATTTCCAAGACTTAGAAGACTGTCTGGACCTGTTTTACCAGTCTGTTATCCTTGTCTCTACACTTAGGTCCACAGCAAGTAAGCAGGGTGTCGATTTTGGGTTGGCAGCAATAGCTAACTGTCTTTGTCAACCACGTGCAGAGAGAGGGAATCTAAGCTCTTTCTGTCTTTAAAAGTGACAAGAGCCACTGTGAGTTACCCCCTTTAAACTAAAGGATGGTTTTTGGTTCTCCCAGATATAAAAAAATGTGACAAGATACAAGCCATGAAAAGAGAGAACTGAAAAATTGCATGTAATTAAAGATGCTGAATGGTGACAGGATAGTGAGGAAGTAGAGAAGACACAGATGCAGACCTGTGAGGACACTACCTTTCTCTTCCTGAAGGCTCCCTTGGTGCCAGGAACAGCTTCACAAACACGGCTGATGGCTTCCCTTAAGAGAACAGGAAGAGATTCATTTTATCATGTCAATCAGGATGAAATAACCCAAAGACCCTACAGGTGCATGTGCCCAGAGGGCAATGATTGCCTGTGTATTCCAACATAGAAAATAGACCTGCCAGCTAGGGAGTCGCCCAATTTCTCCTCCAAGCAGAACACAAACAAGTCATCTTGACCTCTGACGGGCAGTACCCTAGTTCTTCCTGTGGTAGTTGCATGTTCATATGCCCTACATGTGTATCAATGCCACACATTGCTTTAGCTTTTGTTTTGTTTTTATGTTTGGTTAAGATTCCATTTTAGAGAATCAGTACCCTGAAATGTACTCTGCATGTTCTGTTCAGAGTGATGGCTACTCTTAACCAAGTCCTGCTATTATTGATCAAGAGCCTTCTGAACTGAATCAAAATGTACTTTTAAAAAATGTGGTCCTTTGAGTGTTACTCCCAGTGACAAGAAAAAAATTCTGAGATGTGCTAAATTAAATTGCAGCGGGCTCTAGGGTGGGATAAAGAGGTAAGGGGTATATCAGTTAACAGCCTGGAGCCAAACCCAACAAAAGACTGCTCATGTTCCTGAATGTGTTTTGAAACTGTGTATCAACCTTGGTGTCTATTTCAGCTCATATCTAGAAAGAACAGCCAACCACCAAACTCCACCACATCCTGATTATGCTGGAACTTTCCAACTGTTGCCCACAACTAATTGAGAAGTTCTCTGCACCTGTCCCAGAACTACCCCCACTTCACCTTTTTCCACCCCCTTTATGTGTAGTCAGTGTAAATTCTTTCAAAATATCTTCCATCTTTCTCTCCACACTCATTGTATAAAAGAGCCCATGAATCCCAGGATGGCAGATGTGCTCATCATTCACTCTGCTGCTGGTGGCTCAGCCTGCATGCCCCAGGATCTGATCTTTTTTATGGCTAGAAAGGAGATCAGTAAACCCTTTATTTCAGAAAAATTTTTGTTCTCAAAGGCTTTTTTGTTTAATGCCAGTTTCTATAGTTAATAAATATCATAAAATCAAAATAGTTTTAAAAGAGAGGAACGCAGGGAGTATATAAATGAGCCAGATACGAGGTTCTGTGTGGGTCAGCCCCATGGAGCAGGCATTTATTGAGCAGCTATAGTGTGCCAATCACAGTCCTGAAGAAGGCAATGCATATCTGAGTTATTGAGGAGTCTGGCAGGAAGACTGGCTGCAGAGGGTCTGAACCCACGTCTGCACAGGACAGAAGAACACAGAAGCACAGAGGAAAGGTACACATAATGAATACTGGGGCCTACAGTGAGGAGGATGTGGCCAGAGTAATCAGTTGAGAGTAAATAGAACTCAACTTTGTGACTCAGTCTCAGTGATAAATGATGGGAGATCTACTAAAGGTGGCTCCAAAGTCAGTGGCCCAGAAAGAGGCCAAGTGAACTTCTCAAGTCTCCCATGAGGAAGGACAAAACAGTAAAAGAACACAGAAAAAAATAAGTAAGCAGTAGTTTGGGGACACACTGAGTAATGACGAAGACAATGGGTCCTCGGGAACATTCCACAAGCTTTCTCAGCTGCATCCTTCTTGAAATTATTTTCTATTACCTAGAAAAATAATTATCATCACAATACATTGCATTTAAGGGGAATCTGACCTTGTCAAATAAGGTAAGACACCATAAAGATAAGCTTCATATTTACCATTGAATTCATTGTAGGGAGTAGGGAACTATATACTATTTAGAAGTTCAGGTATCATGAAAACTGTAGACTATGAATCAGCATGACACAGAATAAAAGTTTGTGCTTAGTCATTTATTTTATAATATTCTTACTGTGGTTCTATCAAAATGATCATCCAAAGTACTTCCTAAAAGTAAACTCCTTAGTGAAGAAGATCAAGTTGTCTCTCTTAAACAACTGTATAAACTCCAGTATCTATATTTTATGTTTAATTTTTTTTAAAGTTTGATGTATCTCTGTACTATTCTTGGTATATTAAGTGACATATTTAGCTAAACAAAGCAGCTAATTCTCTGATGGTACCAGCAGGCAAGAAAAACATTTTATGGTAGAAAGCTTACCATATTTCATTTCTTTTTTTTTTTAGATTTTATTTATTTATTTATTTATTTATTTATTTATTTATTTATATATAGAGAGAGAGGACAGGAGGGAGAAGGAGAGGGAGAGAAACATCAATCTGTGGTTGCCTCCGGTGCTCCCTCTAATGGGGACTTGGCCTGCAACTTAGGCATGTGCCCTGGCTGGGAATTGAACCGGCAACCCTTTGGTTCACAGGCCAGCACTCAATCCACTGAGCCACGCAAGCCAGAGTACATATGTCATTTCTTAAATATGCATAATACACATCAGATTTCCTTTTTCCATCCATAGACATGGAAGATAAGAGTCTTGGATGACAGTTTTCCAAAAAGAAATCTTAAATGTCTAATACGTGATATAGGTTAGACACTATCCAAGGTCTAATCTAGTCAGGCCACCACAGAACTTGGGCAGCAGGCTTGCTGCTAATGTGCATGGGACAGGGAGGTGGAAACAACAGATGAGCATTAAGAATAGAAGTGTGGCCCTAGCTGGTGTGGTTCAGTGGATTGAGCACCAGCCTGCAAACCAAAGGGTCACCAGTTTGGTTCCCAGTCAGGGCACATGCCTGGTCCAGGTCCCTGGCTGGGGGTGTGTGAGAGGCAACCACACATTGATATTTCTCCCCTTCTCTTTCTCCCTCCCTTCCCTTCTCTATAAAAATAAATAAATGAAATCTTTAAAAAAAACAATAGGAATGTGGACTATACTCTGCAAATAATAAACACATTCTATCAAACAAATCCTCCCATAGACAGGCATGAAAGCATGCTAGGGCAGAGTAAGAGACTCAATCTTTTGTCCTCAAAATGTGCAAACATAAGAAATTCAGAAAGTTCTCAGACCTCATGGACTCAGGATCACAATCCCCTTGTGAGCCAGCCTTTAGAATTCCCCAAGAGGTTTGCAAATCAAACCGCTTTTCAGAAATATGTTCTCCCTTCTCGTTGGTATAAATTTGTTCCTAATGCTCATATGATAGTATGTGTGTATAATTCTCATTTTAATCAGACTGACAGTATCTATTTTTGTTTGAAATAGAAATGTGATATGCCTGTTAATAAATGAATAAAATCAGTAACTTTAACTCCAAAGTCTAATTTTAAATGTAACAATTCTGATTGTCCCTCCTTACTGTTTAGAACCCTGCATTTTGGCAAGCAGTACTGTTTCAATTTGTTCATTTAGCAATAATTATGTAGCTTTGTGTATCCCAGTGTAATTCTCAGGTAACAATTTTGCTCTGCTTTTAATAACAGAGATTGCTTCTTAACATTCTGTTCAGTGTAACCCTATTTCCGTAAGACAAACCATGACCTCAGAGATAGTCAATAGGAAAATGAAATATTTGGCACCCTCACAGTTATCTGAAAGTTAGCCCAAATGCTGATCCCCATTTTTTCATGATTTTGTCATCTTCCCCTATTCAGCTAAAACTGTCATCATTAGAGCCAGTACCATTCACTTTTCATAACTTTTTTATTGAATGTAGGACTTTTGAACTGGAACCTTTCAAATCATGTAGCAGAATCTTTCTCTCTGCTTGTCCATCTCGTTGTTTCTAACCCAATCTACACACACACACACACACACACACACACACACACACATTCTTTACAGACTCAATTAAAAAAAGGACATTCGAGTGATTTCCTTCACTCAGGAGATTAGATTTAGTAGGGGAGGGGCAACAGACAAACACATACAACAGCAAACTGCAATCAACTTCATGAACAAACACAAAGGAGAGACACATGTAGTGAAGAGGATAAGAACATGGCATCCCAAAATAGGCTTCTTTGGCATAAGGATTATTTTGAGTTAAAAGCAACTGAGAAGAAACAGATTCAAGAAAAGGTCTATATCTTCCCCTATTTGCCTAAAAGCAGAACATAAATTTGTAAAGGCATGCCCACCAGGAAGGTCTTGGTATATTAAGTGACATATTTAACTAAAGGAAGCTCTACCACGGGTGTCCAATCTGCGGCCCACAGGCCACATGCAGGCCAGGATGGCTGTGAACGCAGCCCACCGCAAAACTGTAAATTTACTTAAAACATTATGAGATATTTTGTGATTACATGTTACAATATATTTAATGTGTAGCCCAAGACAACTCTTCTTCCTCCAGTGCAGCCCAGAGGTGCCAAAGGTTTGGACAGCCCAACTCAGATCAGCCCAGTGTCGCAGCAGAGGAAACTGCATGACAAACCTTGCTACTGGCCCACATCTTCTTTCAGTTCCCACATGCATGTACATTCCTACAATCTGCTGTCCCAGACACTCAAAGTCCTTTCCTGTGTCCTGTCACTTTTGTACAGATTTACTGCTCTTTGGTTAATATGGTATATAAGCCTAAGTTCTAAGCAGTTTTTTAGTTACTTATCACTGAGTTTCTATGCCTATATGCACAGGCATTAATCAACTCATTGTTTTTCTCTTCTTAATATCTTTTGTCTGATTTGCAGGGTCTAAGCCAGAAAACATAGGAGGGCAAAGCAAAAATGCCTTTCCTCCCCTACAGTAATAAATGAGGTGACAAATGTCAGGAGAGGGAAAGAGTTACCCAGTGAGGGGCATTTGAGTGACTGGGCAGCGATCCAAGGAAAAGTAAGTGACATTCCTATCTTGTGCCTTATATACAAATAAATGCTAGATAGATCACAAATTTAATTTATTTGTAATGAAACTGTATAAGTAGTAAAAAAACATAGAAATTTTTTAAGTCTTTGAATAAAAGGATGATACAAAATCCAGAAACCACAAAAGAATATATTGATACATTCATTAGCATAAAATAAAATTTAATACATAAGAAAAAATAGTATTCCATAGATAATTGTTTTGATATGTCAATAAAAACATCAAAACCCAGCTGGAAATAGGTGAATGATAATGAA